GAATTCTTCTGAACTTCAAGTGGAGGGTGGCTGCGCAGTCTGAGTCACGCAGCACGCAGCTGCAACTTCTGCCTTTTTTTCTTGTAAATAATTAGGAAGACCAAATGGCCTCCCAGCACTACCTCCCTCATGGAGTAATAAAGTAATCTTCCTTGGGATGCAGCGATCTGTAAGCAATCAAATTGCTCTCACATAAGGACTGGTCTTGTAAGGAAAATGCTGTAATCTGCTAAAATTCCTCTGTTTCTGCCTATAAAGTGAGACCTTAGCTTCTCCACTGTGGAACACTGACCTTGTTTGTCTGTAGTCAGTGCTTCCTGAGTGGCCATCCTCAAGGCTCGTGTTTGAATAGACTCTGTACAAATTTATATTTTCTGAATCTCATTACTTAAGGTTGACATGGTGGCGACCACGATGGGACTTGAAGCAGAATTTTGGCGATCCTCATCGCTTTGTCAACAGCTTGAGCCTTGGTACCAGCACAGATGATCTTCATCTTCCTGCACATCTCTGGTAAGTCCCCTTTCCAGTCTGAATTCTCCTGGATTGGTTGAGGATTCAGACGTTATTTGCATTATACACATTCCCAAGTCAATGGGGATGGAACTGAAGTTCTACCGCAAGGTAGGAGTTTGGTTTGTTATTCTCTAGAGATTCTGCTAATTGAAGATTTGTGATGTTCACTTTTCTTTTGTTTGGAACTACTGCTTGGGATTTTTCAACCTTTTCCCTCATACCAAATTTTGGTTAGGGAGCAGTTTCTCTTTGAAAAGAGGAAGCAAATTATCTGTGGCTTAAGTGAAAATTTTGTAAACTTTAGAGCTGGTCAGATTCTGAAGCTTGATTCAACTGACAAATCTAAACTTTTTTTTTTTGAGTGACAATATTATAAAAGGCTTTCTATGAGGACAAGATAAGTGCTGAAGAAAAGAGACATTGTCCTTCCCAGCCAAAAGGCACCTTAAGCGAGTAAGATGTTGAGGGAGCATTGGCACTATCACTCATGACATAAATTGTTCTAAAGGGAATCCCTCCAGAAGAACACACAGGGAACCTTGCCTAGTTCTGTGAGCATACATGCAGGTTGATCACCTAGTGCCTTAAGCCCTCAAGTCTCTTGGGACCACCAAGACACATAAATGAGAGGAACTGACTCAAGGGTGATACTTTGGAGAGCTATTCCCACAATCAGCACACTCCATTCAAAACACCTCCCAAGTGTAAATTAGTTCAACCATTGCGGAAGACAGTGTCATGATTCCTCAAGGATCTAGAACCAGAAATACCATTTGACCCAGCAATCCCATTACTGGGTGTATGCCAAAAGGACTATAAATCGGCCAGGCACGGTGGCTCAAGCCTGTAATCCCAGCACTTTGGGAGGCCGAGGCGGGTGGATCACGAGGTCAAGAGATCGAGACCATCCTGGTCAACATGGTGAAATCCTGTCTCTACTAAAAATGCAAAAAAATCAGCTGGGCATGGTGGTGCGTGCCTGTAATCCCAGCTACTCGGGAGGCTGAGGCAGGAGAATTGCCTGAACCCAGGAGGCGGAGGTTGCGGTGAGCCGAGATCGCGTCATTGCACTCCAGCCTGGGTAACAAGAGCAAAACTCCGTCTCAAAAAAAAAAAAATTAAAAAAAAAAAAGGACTATAAATCACTCTACCACAAAGATGGATGCACACATATGTTTATTGCAACACTGTTCATAATAGCAAAGACTTGGAACCAACCCAAATGCCCATCAATGATAGACTGGATAAAGAAAATGTGGCACATATGCAACAGGGAATACTATGTAGCCATAAAAAAGGATGAGTTCATGTCCTCTGCAGGAACATGCATGAAGCTGGAAACCATCATTCTCAGCAAACTAACACAAGAACAGAAAACCGAACACTGCACATTCTCACTCATAGGTGGGAGTTGAACAATGAAAACTCCTGGATGCAGGGAGGGGAACATCACACACTGGGGCCTGTCAGGGAGTGGGAGGTCGGGGGAGGGATAGCGTTAGGAGAAATACCTAATGTAGATGACGGGTTGATGGGTGCAGCAAATCACCATAGCACGTGTATACCTGTGTAACCTGCACGTTCTGCACATGTACCCCAGAACTTAAAGTATAGTAATAATAATAAACCTCCCACTAGGTCTTTTTGGTCGTTCAAAAGTAAAGACTAAAATATGAGCAATCATACTTCTAAAGTTGAGTCTTCCTCCTTATGGAGAGATCCACCCTTAGAAACACCAGCTAGGTTCATGTTTAATACTTATGGTATCTTTATATGCAAATATTTAGAAAAATGGTCCCACATAACTTGCAATAACCAAATTATATTGCCAGACGGGGGTACCTTTTAAGTACCTCAACTAGTCTGTACACTTAATTAGAAAAAGCTGGCTCTAAAATAAAATAAAACAACTGCAGATTGATTTTCAGTGGTACTTAGAAGCTTCTAAAAGAGGTTCTGATAAAATCATTCCTTTGCAAGAAGAAAACAAAAGTGCCCCCCAATTTTTTTTTAAATTGAAAAAGACTGCTGACATTTCTCATTTTTCAGCTCTTCCCTCTCTTTTGTCAAAACTTCTTTGTTTGGACTTACTTTCCCTCCCTCCCTCCCCTCCCCCTTCCTTCCTTCCTTCTTTCCTTCCTCCCTCCTTCTTTCCTCCTTCCTTCCTACTTTCCTTCCTTCCTACCTACCTTCCTTCCTTTCTTCCTTCCTACCTTCCTCCTTCCTTCCTCCTTCCTTCCTTCCTTCCTACCTTCCTACCTTCCTTCCTTTCTTCCTTCCTAACTTCCTTCCTTCCTTCCTTCTCACTTTTCTACCTTCCTTCCTTCCTTTCTTCCTTCCTACTTTCCTTCCTTCCTACCTACCTTCCTTCCTCCTTCCCTCCTACCTTCCTTCCTTCCTTCCTTCCTCCTTTCCTTCCTACCTTCCTTCCTTCCTTTCTTCCTTCCTACTTTCCTTCTTTCCTACCTACCTTCCTTCCTCCTTCCTACCTTCCTTCCTCCTTCCTTCCTCCTTCCTTCCTCCTTCCTTCCTTCCTCCTTCCTTCTTCCTTTGCCTCTGTCTCCTCCTCCTACTCCTCTTCCTCCCCCCGCCCCTCCTCCCCCTGCTGTTCTGACTCCATTTTGGGAATACCCTATGTTCAGTAGAGGAGAATCTGCCTTGTTTAAAGAATTACTGGATCCTCTTCAGGACCCTGCAGGATTTGCTAGAGCATTTGTTTTGTTTTGTTTTGGAGACAGGGTCTTGCTCTGTCGCCCAGGCTGGAGTGTAGTGGAACGAGCTCTGCTCACTGCAACCTCCACCTCCTAGGTTCAAGTGATCCTCCTGCCTCAGTCTCCCGAGTAGCTGGGATTGCAGGCATGCACCATGATGCCTGGTTAATTTGCTAGAGAATTTGTATATGTGCTGCTGAAGTGAGCACAATTTACCAGAGAATTTGAATTAAACATTCACATTGATGATCCTAGATTTTCTGATTTATATCAATTGGTTCCTATTTAGTATTAGAAAGTAAAGCCAAACATTAGATAGCAAAGGGAAGTTGGAGAACTCCTTTAGAGGACTTCCGCAGAGTTCCTGAAGATCAAGAATGGTCCTGCAATACGGCCAAAGGTCTACTGGCCACTAGTCCCTTAGGTTTCTAAAGCTTGGAACAAAACACAGCAAGGCAAATAAAATCCTGATAAGCCTATAATGTCATACTTTGAAAATTTTGAGAAAAACATTTAAATAACATTCAGGCTTATCAGAAGAAACTTATGCTCATTGCCAAAATGATATTCTCCTTAACTCAAGCTTTGTAAATGGAGTTGATGAAGAATTGGCAGTTACAATGAAAAGACAACACCCCATTTGGCGTACCTCTCAAATTCATGATCTAGTTAATTCTGCTGATCAAATGTCCTGTACCTCAACCCAGAAATGAAAGGAAAGGGAAGTTAAGCAGGGAAGAAAAGCAAATAAGATCATGAGTTTACAATGAATACAATTGTCCAAGCAATTTGTAACCCCTAAACAGCCTAAAAAGGTTCCCAAACTGACCCAATCTCCGGCTTTGCAATTACTGAAAAAAAGCCTGAACATTTCAAAGGGGATTGTAGAAAACGAAAATGGAAAGGACAGCAACAGATTGAAGAAAACGGGATGCTCTGAGGAAACAAAATGCGTCTGTTCGTTCCTCCTTTCAATACCTTCAGGAAAATTAGAATTAATTTAAATGGAGACCAAATACAAGCTCTCACTGACACTGGAGCTACATAATCAGTGATAAATCTCACCTCACGAGGTTCCATTCCTCAGTCAAAAAACAACGGGCGCGGTGGCTCAAGCCTGTAATCCCAGCACTTTGGGAGGCCGAGGCGGGTGGATCACGAGGTCAAGAGATCGAGACCATCCCGGTCAGCATGGTGAAACCCCGTCTCTACTAAAAAAAAAAATACAAAAAATGAGCTGGGCATGGTGGCACGTGCCTGTAATCCCAGCTACTCAGGAGGCTGAGGCAGGAGAATTGCTTGAACCCAGGAGGTGGAGGTCGCGGTGAGCCCAGATCGCGCCATTGCACTCCAGCCTGGGTAACAAGAGCGAAACTCCGTCTCACAAAAAAAAAAAAAAAAAAAAAAAAAAAAAAAAAAAAAAAAAAAACCCACAATGATGGGCGTAACAAATACTCCTATATCGCTATATCAATCTTAACCTAGGGTTTCTCAGTCAGGTTCCCTAGAGGGAACTTCACATGTTCCTCTTTGTCCCAGCCTTCAACCATTTGATGGGGAGAGACTTCCTAGAGTTACAGAACACTCACCTCTCTTTTCTTCAAAAGGGGGAAAATGTATTTAGAATTAGAAGATAAAATAGAAGTATTAGGTCCAAAATTTTTTCAAATTCTGATGCTTTTAATTCACAAATAGCAATTCATATTGTCATAGAGGAAACTAGATTGTTAAATAATAAAGAATGACTTAAGAGCTGTTAAACATAGTACTTGAGTGCTCACTTCAGCAGCACATGTGATAAAATTGGGATGATACTGAGATTAGTGTGCCCCCAGCATAAAGATGATACGTAAGTTCATGAACTGTTCCATATTTTATATTAATAAAAACTTTTTTTTTTTTTTTTTTTTTTTTTTTTTTTTTTTTGAGACGGAGTTTTGCTCTTGTTACCCAGGCTGGAGTGCAATGGCGCGATCTCGGCTCACCGCAACCTCCGCCTCCTGGGCTCAGGAAATTCTCCTGCCTCAGCCTCCTGAGTAGCTGGGATTACAGGCACGTGCCACCATGCCCAGCTAATTTTTTGCACTTTTAGTAGAGACGGGGTTTCACCATGTTGACCAGGATGGTCTCGATCTCTCGACCTCATGATCCACCCCCCTCGGCCTCCCAAAGTGCTGGGATTACAGGCTTGAGCCACCGCGCCCGGCAAAAACTTTTTAAAAGATTAAAAATAGTACTTGATCAATTGTGGTCAAAATTCTCCACCAATATTGGAAAAGTTATCTTAGATGCCCCAATTAAAATGGAAATAAATCCATCAAAACCTTTTCCAAACCTTAAACAATACTCTCCAAGTTCAGAGGCATAGGAAGGGATAAGACCTATAATTTTGGATTATATGAAAAGAGGCTTGATGATTTCTTATACAAGCCCATATTCCAAACAGCAGAGGGTGGAGATTTGTACAGAATCTGAGAGCAGTTAATAACACAGTCATTCCTCAACATCCAGTGGTTACCAAATCTGCCTACGTTGTTGACTGCCATCTCAATTGAAAGTGTGTTCTTTTTTCTTTTCTTTTCTTTTTTTTTTTTTTTTTTTTGAGGCAGAGTCTTGCTCTGTTGCCCAGGCTGGAGTGAAGTGGCATGATCTTGGCTCACTACAACCTCTGCTCCCAGGGTTCAAGTGATTCTCCTGCCTCAGCCTCCTGAGTAGCTGGAATTACAGGTGTGTGCCACCAGGCCCAGCTAATATTTTTTTTTGTAGTTTTAGTAGAGATGGGTGTCACCATGTTTGCCAGGCTGGTCTCGAACTCCTGACCTCAGGTGATCTGCCCGCCTTGGCCTCCCAAAGTGCTGGGATCACAGGCGTGAGCCACTGCGCCAAGCCCGAAGGTGTGTTCTTTACTGTAAGAGACCTATGTAGTGCATTCTTCAGCATTCCTGTGGATAAAGATAATTAATTTCTCTTTACCTTCACTTGGGAAGATAGACAATACACATGGACAGTTATGCCTCAGGGATATACTGAGGGGTCAACTTATTTTTCACAAATATTAATAGCAGACCTTTTAGATGTTGACTTCCTTAAGAAATACACCTTGATACAGTATGGAGACAATTTACTTCTCTGCTCAGGGGATAAACAAACCTCGATAGAGGTTAAAATTTATTTATTACAATGATTAGCTTCAAAGAAACACAAAGCCTCAAAGAAACAACTTCAATTCTGTTAAAAACAAGTAAGATATTTAGGTTACCTAATATCAAAGGAAGGCGTTTTTATCAATTTAGGTAGAATTAAAGGAATATTGGCCTTCCCTATCCCCAAAATTAAGAAACAACTGAGAGAATTTTAGGGGTTTGCAGGATACTGAAGAAATTGAATTCCAAACTACTCCTTAAAAACTCAACCCTTATATACTCTTTAAAGTAAGGTAAACTAGACTAGACCTCCTGGAATGAACAGAGGGAAATCAGCTAATATTGATTTTTTTTTTTTTTTTTTTTTTTTTTTTTTTGAGATGGAGTCTTGTGTTGCCCAGGCTGGAGTGCAGTGGTACAATCTCAGCTCACTGTAGCCTCCACTTCCCGGATTCAAGTGATTCTCCTGCCTCAGCTTCCTGAGTAGCTGGGATTACAGATGCATGCCACCACACCAGGCTAATTTTTGTATTTTATTTATTTATTTATTTATTTATTTATTTATTTACTTTTGAGACAGAGTCTCACTCTGCTGCCCAGCCTGGAGCGCAGTGGCACGATCTTGGCTCACTGCAAACTCCGCATCCCAGGTTTAAGCAACTCTCTGCCTCAGCCTCCCAAGCAGCTGGGATTACAGGCACATACCACTGCACCTGGCTAATTTTTGTATTTTTAGTAGAGATGGGGATTCACCATCTTGGCCAGGCTGGTCTTGAACTCCTGACCCCATGATCTACCCGCCTTGGCCTCCTAAAGTGCTGGGATTACAGGCATGAATCACCGGGCTCGGCCAATTTTTGTATTTTTAGTAGAGATGGGGTTTCACCATGTTGGCCAGGCTGGTCTCAAACTCGTGACCTCAGGCCTCCCAAAGTGCTGGGATTACAGGTGTGAGCCATTACCGCTGGCTAACACTGGAAGAAATTTAAGAGTTTTATAGATGTCTCAGTGGTAAGGTATCTGAACTATAATAGTTCATTTTCATTGTTTGTTCATAACTGCCTTAGGCATTCTGAATCGAAAAACATGGAGATCAAAATAGACTTGTAGGATACGGTAGTCAACAACAACTGGACTGGACCCTGCAGCTAAAGAGCCGAAACCTCACGAGACAGTTATAATGGCTACTGTCCTGTTCATAGCAGTGACCAAGGATCACCCCCTCACTGTCTTCATTCCACATTCTGTGGAAGTACTTCCAAACTTGCACCACATTCAACACTATTCAGTTAGTAGACTGGCTTCTTATAAAAAGTTCTTCTTTCTGCTCCCTAATACGATCTCCAGATGTAAAAGTCTAAATTTTTAAAAATTCATCTGCTCTTTAGATGAAACACCACATGACTGCATAATCTTAACCAACCAGCTCCTCCTGTAGGATGAACCTGGAAGAAACCCTTTTACTAATGCTGATGTTAATTGGTTTGCAGATGAATCTTACTTAAAGGACAGATCTGAAATTTGCCATGCAGGTGATGCTACAGTATCCCTGACTGAGGAAATAGAAAATGCTTATCTTCCAGGAGAGACCTTGGCTCAACAAGCAAAGTTAATAGCATTAATTAGAGCCTGTCAACTGGCAAAAGGAACAACTGCTAATATATATACAGACAGCTGATAGGCTTTTTGAGTAGCTCATTACTTTGGAATGCTACGGAAATAAAGATGATTTTTAACCTCTTCTGGGCGGTCCACAAAAAATGGACACCTTATTTCAAAATTACTGGAAGCTCTATTATTGCACAAATCATTACCGATTACCAAGATTCCAAGCCATTCAAAGTTGACTATTCCAGAAAGCAAAGGAAATCAATTAGCAGACAGCATGGCAAAAAGGCTGTACTAAGCGTATCTCAACAAGAAAACCCAGTTTAGCTTTTAAGAAAGCACTTGATTTTGATATAAAATTAGCTCAATCCAAAGCTCCAAAAACAGAACAGGAAAATTGGGAAACTAAAGGGGGAATGTACTTCTCTGATACTGGGCTATGATATGGACCAAATGGTCTATTCATGCTTCCAACCAAATTACAGTCTTCTTGCTTAACTCATGTGCTTGATTTAACTCATTGGAGCCCTGATAAGATGATTGGTTGGGACAAACAAGATTATTAGAAATCTCCAACTGTTGCTCATAAGGTACGTAATTGCTGCCACATCTGTCCAAAACAATCCACGGAAAACTACATAGTTCTCTGGGTCATTTTCCTTTACCAGAAAGCTCAATTGAGCTATGGCAACTAGATTTTTTATTCAGCTACCATCATTACAAGAATATAAGTAGGTTCTTGTAACGGTTTGAATGTTTTGTCATATTTCTATACAGAAGGGCAACAGTCTTAGTGATAAGTAAAATTAGTTTAGAAAAAAATTATTGTCCAGGCATGGTGGCTCAAGCCTATAGTCCCAGCACTTTGGGAGGCCGAGGCGGGTGGATCTCAAGGTCAAGAGATCAAGACCAGCCTGGCCAACATGGTGAAACCTCGTTTCTACTAAAAATACAAAAATTAGCTGGGCATGGTGGTATGTGCCTATAGTCCCAGCTACTCAGGAGGCTGAGGCTGGAGAATCACTTGAACCCGGGAGGTGGAGACTGCAGTGAGCCGAGATCGTGCCACTGCACTCCAGCCGGGTGACAGAGTGAGACTCTCTCAGAAAAAAAAAAAAAGGAAAAAAATCATTGCAACTTGGATAGTCCCTCTAGAACTTCACAGTGACAGAGGACAGATGTGCTCATTTTACTATACAAATAATCTGGCGAGTATGTAAAATCTGGCTCGTTCTCCAATGTTTCCATTGTGCCTGTCACCCCCCAGTCATCTGGGACAGGGAAATGCACAAACAGAATCGCCAAAACTCAACTAGCAAAATTAACCGAGGTTTTAGAAACTCCTTTGGCCAAAAGCTCTTCCACTGGCTTTGCTTAACCTAAGATCGACCCCTTCTGGTAAACGTCAGTTGCCTCCATTTGAAATTATCACAGGCACACGTATTAAATTGTCTCTAGGAAACCGTGAATCTGTGATATTAAAAGGGGATATGTTCTATTATTGCTGTAGCCTTAAAAGGCAGCTAACTAAAAACTGTAAGTTAGTAAAAGACTCTTTCCACACTGAGCTTCCGGGAGACGAAAAAGTCAAGGACCAGGGACTTCAACCAGGAGATTCTGTTGATTGGAAGTGCTATCTTTTAAAGTGGAAATGCTGTCTTTTTTTTTTTTGAGACGGAATCTTGGTTTGTCCCCCAGGTTGGAGTGCAGTGGCGCGATTTCAGCTCACTGTAACCTCCACCTCCCGGGTTCAGGCGATTCTCACACCTCAGCCTCCTGAGTAGATGGGAATACAGGCATGTGCCACCATGCACAGCTAATTTTTGTATTTTTAGTAGAGATGGGGTTTCACCACATTGACCAGGCTGGTCTCAAACTCCTGACCTCAGGTGATCCACCTGACTCGGCCTCCTAAAGTGCTGAGATTACAGGTGTGAACCACTGCGCCAGCCAATAATTTCTTTTTTTTAAAGCAGGGCCAGGCTCAGTGGCTCACGCTTTTAATCCCAGCACTTGGGGAGGCCGAGGCAGGCAGATCACAAGGTCAGGAGATTGAGACCGTCCTGGCTAACATGGTGAAACCCCATCTCTATTAAAAATACAAAATATTAGCTGGGCGTTGTGGC